GGATGGACTTCGAAAACTTGTGCGATCAACCGTGAGATTGTTCCTCGTCCCTGTTACTATTCTCTGCGATTCGTGTTCACCAATACCCATACACAGAGAAACATACTAGACATGCACGCGTACATACACATATGTGTGCACCTTTGTTAAAACGTACGCGAGCGAACTATCGTTCGTTAAACTTCCCCCGACACGACGTACCTTCATTCCCCCCTCACTCCTTACTTCACTCCGTTCCCCCAAAATCCACTATCGGAGAACCTCACAAACGTAATTCCATTTAAGACGATACTTCGAACAAGAGAACCTAGCAAAGTATCTTAACACGTTGACTATTCCGTGTTGGTAATTGGTGACCTCAACGCAACCAATAGTAAAAATACTTAATTACGTGTAAATATCGATAATAATAAATTTTTACATTATATCATTGTTTTTTTTATAAAGTTTTAAAGAAAATAATTACATACAGAAGATGCAAAAAATAATTTTATAATTACAAGGAAAATATGCATGACACGTTACATTTTTTCTACGCGTAATTGCTTAATAAAATGCAATCTTCATTATCAAAAAAATTTCACTAAATACAATTTTAACTTCATTCTAAAATCAGAAATTAAAATATTTTTTTAGTTACTTGTTTGTATAACACCCATTTAATTTACAATACAAGTAATCAATAAAAACTGTATTACCAAATTCCTGTAACATTTTATAGTTATTTTGCAGTAGTGAACTCCAAATTACTTTCTAAGTAAAAATAAACTTTTTTCCTCCTTTCCCCCATCCATCCTCATGAATATAAGATTTTTTTAATAGTTAAAATAGTATTGTACATAATAAGATAAGATTAACATACGTTCTATTTATTATTCACAAAAAGAATGTAAAATCAAAATAAAAGTTATTTAATTATTAATTTGAATAATTAAACCTCGAGATATCTAAATTGACATTTATATTTTATTCAAAATGTTCATATTCAAGAACATTTAAGAATGACAAATTTTCAAATGAATTTTTTGTATATAATTTTTTTGTATATATATATATATATATATATATATATATATATATAAAGATGGAGAATTTTCTTGGATAAGTAAAAATCCAATATCTTTCGAAAGATGCCAAACGAATCTTCGATGTTTTTTAGTTCGCGGCTGGCATAAATCTCTCTTTGGCTGTACGACGATCAGAATTCTCATGCATAAAAGCGCATGAGAGTGAGCAAGCAATCCATGCGAGTCGCGTTTCTTGCTTTCTTGCTGGAGCATATTCGATCTTTCTTTCTCTCTCTCTTTCTCTCTCTTTCTCTCTCTCTCTCTCTTTCTCTTTCATTCTATCTTTCTATCTCTCTTTCTTAGTCCTTATTTCCTTCCCCTTTTACATAACTTTTATTTGTGAGCATCTTTCTTTGCCACGATAGACATATCCTACGTTTTCCTGGCTGGCGACTCCTTTCCCCTTAACATTACAACTTCAATCAGTTCTGGTCTCCATCCATTCGCTGATTCCACCTTATGCCACTTTTTGTCTACCACTTCTCCATTTCATACAGGACGTTTCACAATATCTAACCATAAGTATCTAACTAAATATCATTATAGAATATTTATTATTATTAATTAAAAATTTTAGAACAAAGTTTGACAAGTGTATAAATTAAATTTATTTTTTTTGTTTCTTTTCTATTCTCTTATTAACACGTTCCGTGCCAAGCCCTTTTTACCTGACTTGTCACTCAGGACATTTAATTTTATCTTAATAAAATCAACCATTACATGTAATTACTAATTATTGTAAATATAACAATTAAATAAACTTATGTGATTTATTCTATACTGCATTTTGTATAATGCATCATTATTTTAGAGAAATAATTTTTTACAGAATTAAAATTGTTTTTAAACATATATTTTCAGCGTATTAAATAAATATGTCTAATGGTAAGTGTACCACCGGCGGTACACGTGGCACGGAACGTGTTAAAGTTATTTCTATTTATTTAATCCATATTTTGTCTTTTTTATTAATTAATAAGATATTTTGTTTTAATTAAAAAAGACTATCGATGTAAGGAGTAATTAAATTGTTTTTTATTCGATCAATATAATTTATTACATGGATAAATTAATATTATTAAATATAATAATTAAATGACTGACCAGTTAATATGACTATTTTTAAATAAATTTAAAAAACAAATGTGTTGAAATAATTATTAATGTAATTTCGTTTAATAAAATAATTTAATTTCGTATTAATTAGAAATTAATGGATAAAAATGATAGTTACTTTCATCCAACATAAATCTTATGAAACAACCTGTACCACCATCTCTCTCTTTCTCTCGTGTTTTCTATTTCTTTTTCTTCCAGTTACATCGAAATTACCGGAAGAAATTCGAAAGAACATTCGACTTATTCTTACTACAGATCGTTTTTAATTTCTTATTCGAGTTGATCGTCGTTCTCATTTCTGGCGACGTCCTCTCCTATTCCCATCTTATTGATAGTACTATACAATTTTTTTTATTTTTACTTCGATATGTATTAGTATTATGTGGATTACTGTATATAGTTTTACTAGTTTCCATGGAATAACTTGTTATTTATCTTTTACATTTAAATCACCGACCGCGACATGGTTTTATTTTAAAATTATATTTTTCCTCAAACAAATAATATCATAAATCTAAAAATATATTAAAGAATAAAAACAAAAATAAAAACGAAATATACTAAAAGAATAAACTAAAGATTTATTAATTTATTAAATAATCAAATATCACCTATACTCTGGTAAAACGCATAATAAATTTTCATCTTTTTCTGTGATGAGAATATTACGTTTTTTTTTAAATTAACTAACCATTACTGTACGAAAAACATCAAATAGTAAAGAGAGCACACTTTATTTCACAAACTTTATTTTTCCCATTAGAAAATGTATATTTTAACGAGGAAAATAACTCGGATTATCATAAATGTTAGTTAATGACTTTTGACTTAACATAAGACGACATATCACATATATATATACACACACACACACACACGCACGCATATTATGATTATAAAGATTCGTTAATCTAGTATAATATTTAGAAAGATAACGCATTAATATTAATATCGTTTTGGAAAGCAATCGGGATAAAAGAAAAATGTGGAGACGTATTCGATGACGATCGGAAAATAACATAATCTGAAAAGAAAATGAAGAAGATAGAAGAAAAGAAGGGACAAAGTTGAAGTATAATTTGAAGAAAAAAACGAAAAAAAAAGAAAAACGAATACCGTAATAGAGAAGAAGCGGAACGTTGTGAATTGTTAGTTTGAAATATGTATGTTTGGCCTGTGGATATTATGAAAAATTCAAGAGCGATTCCTAGTTTCTCATGTAATATTACTATCAACCGAGCTATCTCGAGCTTGCGGCAAGTTAAAGCTCGAATCTACGTGACCAACCACGTTTCTTCTACCGAGATACATACATACATACATACATACATACATACATACATACATACATACATACATACCTATGTACATACATACCTACATACATACGAACGTACGTACATTCATGCATCTACTTTTACCTCCTTAACGTTTGAGTTATATTCGCGAGACTATCGTGATCTTTGAGTTATCATCCCCCTAACTGGACATTTCTTTTAAGATGTCTAATATTTTATTTCCGACAAAACGCATTAAAAATTCATCGATGTATTAATCGAATGTTATTCTTCAACAACAACACTACATTCAGATTTTTAAAACTAAATTCACGATTATATTTGTTCCGAAATTAATTCGTTATGTTCTTCCTTTTATTAAATTTTATAATTGTAATAATTACATTACAATTATATATTATATATTATATATTATATAATTATGTAATAATTATACGAAAATTTGAAATAATCTAAAATAGATTGAGGAGGTTTTGTTGAAATGAAATATCATCAAAAATGAATTAATATATTACAATATTATATATTAAATGAAATTGATATTTAATAATTTCTTTCTCTTATCTTCGAAATAACGAAATATCGAATGAACATATACACGCATGCATACATACATTCATACATACACACGTGTATAGATACGTACGTACGTACATATGTACGTATTTAATACATATATATCCAGATTAATTTCAATGGGAACGTTATGGCTGCTCGTTGGCCATACAATTTCAGACTAATTCCAACTTCAATCATCCTTTTGAATGATCACTAAGTAGTTCCTTTGGCCCTTCTATGATATAAAGCATTTTCCAGAAAGTAGAATCGTGATACGATAAGAAGACGAAAAAAGGAATGGATACAATTCCAAGTTCGTTCCGTGCAAGACTAACTCTAGTATGTGAAAAAAAAGAAAAAATATAAAAAAAGAAAAAAAAAGAATCCGCAAAAAAGCAACCATTCTTCTTACATTCAACCAACATCCCCCATCAATTTTAGTTCGGTTCGTTCGTCGACATGTTGACGTGATTAAAAATTATGTGAAAAATTTATGAAAGTTCGGGTCAACGTACTATTCAATTCTTCAACTTTCTTTCTTACTCTCTTATTTCATTCTTCTTATTTTCTTTTTTTTTTTCTTCTTTTTTGTGTAAAACCTAAACCTACTACAACCATTCGGTTAAAATAATCGATTTTTCATTTTCAATTAGAATGTTCTCTATCGTATTGATTTTTCATGATTTTTCGTTTAAAACACATTGAGGATCTTATAAGTCTTACTTATACATAGTTATACATTTTTAATGGATTATAAAAAATTGAAAGTAAAACAAAAAAAATTGTCACTTTAAGATAATTATAATTATTAATTATAAATATTTTCTTTATTTATTATTTACATTTCGGTTAATTAATTCATTATTATTATCCTCATTTATAATTTTAATTAAATATGTTATAACTTATGTTAAAAAACGATCATTATATTAGCAGGTTTAACGTTAAAAAGTGATCATTATGTTTCAGATTTTTGCGTATGTTTGTCTATTTCCTTTTCCGCAGCCTTGAAAATCTCATCTTTGTTCTTTTCATCTGCATCAATCTCCGCGGTGACCTTCTTGTTTGGTTCAATGGTAGAAGAAATCGTGTCGATGTAGGAATTAATTTGCTCCGAAAGCTTCAACGAATTTTGATCATCCTTAGCCGTTCCATTTTTCGCCCTTTCAACAAGGACGTCCCTTTTGACTTGCAAATGGAGCACCAACGTCGGTCGTTTCACTTCTTCGTTGAACATCGTCGCCTGCCGTCAAACGATGGGATATTGTTCGATGCTATGAATATTCCGCGTTATTCTCTCTTTTAAAACGATGTTTTTTCGAACAGTGAAAAATATTTTTATCTTCTCTCGAATACACTCAAATGAAAACAATGAAAAAGATATGGGGGAGAAGGGAAAGGTGAAATACATTTTATTTATTTTCAATCAATATTTATAAATATTTTTGATCAGTTTATTGTTAAACAAATATGGTCAGCGTATATAGGAATATTTTTTAAGCGTTATAAATGATAAATAAATAAACATATTTTGTCAGTATTGTTAATAGATGATAAATATTTGTAATAGGTAAAAATGTTCACGACTTGCATTAAAATTAATGATATTTTATTTTAAATACTAATTTGTCTATTGTTTGTTTTTACACTAACACATTGATGATCAATTATTACTGTTCAAACGTAACCTTTTTAATTATGATTACATTAATAATTAAATGAAAATGTTTTAAGTTTTTGATAATTGGTAATACCAAAATTAAAATGAATATTACGAAATACAATAATTAATATTACGTTTGATCAATTATATAAATTGTATAAATGTGCAAACACGAGTATACTATGATTGGTTAGCAATGCGTTAATCGATGTAATATTAATATTTTACTATAAACACTGATTATTTATTTAAAATATTGACTTAATAAATAGCAATCATACAGAATAAATAAATAAATAGAAGAAAGAAAAATAAAAGGAGGAAAGAAGAAAAGAAATATAGAAGGTTTACTTGTCCCTTGTCTCGAGGAAAACCAACAATAAGAAATCCCATGGCATTAGGCTGACTCATCATCTGTTCTGCGACCATAGGAACAACGTCATTCGCTGGAACGTTTTGTCCTTCTTTCATGATACTCTGAATTTCTGACCTTTTTCCTTACCATTTTCGATTTCTTACTTCAGCAAATCCCTCGTCGAAATCATGAAGAAACCATATTTTGCTGATAATCTTCTACCCAAATCGCGTTTACCAACGCCTGGTGCACCGATTAGGAATATTATAGGAACGGAATATTGTTTCGGTTGTTCCATGTTTCTTATATTGTTTTCTGGAAATTCCATACTTTCTCTTCTATCTAAACACATACCCATATCCGTGTGTTTTGCAATATCATAGTATTATCTCCTATCCTGGAAGTTATCCTATAACGCGTTAACTCTCTGATCGTACAAAAATATACAAAGAAATCAAAATTACAATCTTATCGAGAAACAAGGTAATGAATTCACGTTAAAAAATAATAAAATTTGATTATAGGTTATAATAAAGTTCATAAGAAAGTATATATAACGACAACTTCAAGTTAATAAAATGACTTTTACTAATCACAATCGCAACGAAAATGACAATTATATAGAACAACCACAATAACAGCAACAAAATAAAAGAATTATAATCGTTCGGTATTAATACTACTGATCAAAATTACACGTCAGAAAGATCCTAATAAAATAAATTAAACTGTTCCTAAAAAATAACTTATCTTACGATTGATAAATAAACGATCCTATAAAAAAATGCATTAAGATAGCTGTCATTTAAAAAAAAAAAAAAAATAAATATTGATTCAAAGATTTTCATTAATTACGCAAAAAGTATTCTTTCAATGGTATGAAGATACGATAAATATTATAAATGACATAAAAAAGAAAAAGAAAAAATAAGTTAACTCTGATAATTTAATAATTTCACTTTAAAGTCAAAAATAGATTTAATGATCATCTAGTGTTACGGCAATGCTTTCATGATCCCCCAAACGAGACTGTCGGAGGTTAAGAAGTGGTTCGAGGAATGTGTTGAAGAGGCAAAGAGATAAATCGTCTTGCTGTTCGTTACTATCTTCTACCTATTCTGCAAGTCAGACTTTAATGCATGTATGCATGCATTCATGTGTGTATATACATATGTATGTATGTATACATGTGTGCGAAATAGAAAGAGAGAGAGAGAAAAGAGAAGATATATCGTCGCATTATCATGCTGAACAAGATCGTTCAGGGCTTCTAACAGGAGTCTCGATAAGTTTACGTGTCAGTTCTACGTTCGACTTGATCATCCTATTTATTTTTTAATCCCCTCCTTCTTTCTATCTCTCTTTTTTCCTCCCTCTATCCTCCCCCATTTCAGCTCTCATTGTATATGTAGCTTCTTGAACACAAGTGTTCTGATAAAAAAATAAATAAAACTGTATAAAAATAATATGAGATACGAGGAGATTAATGCACTTTGGTACAGCTGTTTCGTAAACTTGTTTGTATTCATCGTTGAATCTCTAGGATATGGGAAAGAGAATGGGAAGTACAGTATATACTTATGCAAATTTATATACTAGAGAAACTTTCGAAGGGTGAAAAGAAGCACTACCCTTTAAAGGGAGTATCTCTATCCTTTTCTTGTTTCCCCCACATTGTTTTTGGAAATTTATAGAAACAAATATGTTCTGCTCTACTTTATCGTACTGCTGGTACCTTCATTTGTCCGTTGTGAAACGTCCCGTGGTATTGCTCATTACAGAAAAGAGATACTACACAATGTGGAATATAGAATTAGTAAGATAAAATCTGCGATAAAACTTGCGTAAACATCACGTATTACTATTGTAAAATAGAATTCCATAATTTATTACGTAAATTGTTTTTTTTTTCGTTAGCTCTTCAAACACCAACTCAACAAATATCTTCCATCATTCGAGATTTGCTTTTTCTAGTTTTACTTTTTATGCTATTGGATTATTTTTCCTTTTTTTTTTGTTTTCTTATTCTTCCAGAAACGAATATTTCTACTTCGAGAGAAATAATACGAAACACTTTTTGTTTTATCAGAATAAAATCAAAAACTTTATAATTACTTTATATATATATTTATTTATTTATATTATTTATTATTAATTTATATATATATAAATTAAATGTGATATTATTATTATTAAATTTGGCAGGAATAAAAATAAAAATAAAATTGCTTCCTATGTACAAGAGATCGTCTCATTTAGACTTTATTGCTGCATCAAATATTTAAGGATTATTTTTTATATTTATTTTAGATATATCTATTGGATCAGTATATTAAATAAATAGTCAATATTTATTATTAAAGGATCAATGTTTACCTTGTATCAACGCTTTTAACTCTGATACGAATCTACCTCTATTTTATAGGTATATAAATACTAAAAAAAGAAGTGACCAAAAAATGGAAATAATATTTTTCTACTTTGGATATCGAATAAACTTACAAATTATATATATGCATGCATTTTCAAATTTTGAAAAAATAGTCTTATTTAATCGCATACTCTATATCTATTTTCAAAATTATTCTAATAAATCGTAGAAATTAATTAAAACAAATAACAATAAATAAAAGAAGAAACTTTGATAAAAGAAAGGTACACAGAACTATGCACAAAGAGACAGAACTATGCACAAAGAGATATCGGTCAGTTTCCGTATGCCCTTCCATTTCCCATCACCCCTTCCCCCCTCTCTTCCCTTACTATCTCTCTTTCTATGTCCATCTATCTCTCTATTCTGCGCTAAGATATTTAATTGATTTAGGTGCCGAAAGCCAGCCTAGGACTTTCCCACGGGACGTCGAGAATGCGACCACCGAATGGAATTCTCCGGACACCTAGCAGGATCGCTTGCGGTTGGCGCGGGAATCATTGGTGAATATCGGCATTCGAGTACCTGCCACCAAACCTGATCCCCTTACTCGAAGGTCTTCGAACCTTAGCCGCCATTACTGAGAAACTCTACCTATCCTAACAGAAGCTACTACGATCTTTCAAAATTCAATTGGAACTTCTCTTACGCGTGCCATACATGCAACACTTTGATTTGTCCAAGTGAATATATATATATATTCTCTATTTCGAATAAGGAATTCAAATTTCTCCAATCTTCTAATATAAATTTCAATCGATTGTATTCCACCCATCTTGTATAACTTTTTAACCTCCCCCAGACGGGGGATAAATATCAAAATATTTAATAATAAAATAAAATAAAATTTTGTTTTAGAAGATTTGCAATTTAAATAAAAATATGCGATAGAATTCTCAAGAAATATATATCATATAAGTAAGAATCGGTACATTGTGTGTTTTTAGTCTTTTTTAATTCGAATCTTTTAGTAATGTAATGTATCTTAGAAAATTATTCATTCTAGTAATTGATATATATGTATATCTGAAAATAAGTATTAAAATATAACGTTGTATTTAAAAAAAAAAAACAAAGTTAACCAATAAATCTCAAAAATGACTCAACCTAGCAATTAAACACTAATGTCATATTATAGTCCTAAATTTTTCAGAAAACTTTTTTCTCATTCACTTTTCTGCTATTATCATACTTTCTAAGCTATTTAGATGGCAAGAGCTGGTGAATCAACCTGTATATGTTCCATTATGATACAATCAATATGGATTTGAAGAAGAAAGACACTGAAGAGAAAATAAAGTTCGAGCAATCGAGATTTGTGGTTTTCTGATAGTAGTACTACATATACGAGAGCTTCCACAAGGTCCATTAAAATAAATGGCATGCCGCGACGTTAATAATAGCCAGGCCAATTACAATGGCGGCAGCATTCGGTCCTTTCCGGGGACCACTCCTCTCTCTCTCTCTCTCTCTCTCTCTCTCACTCTGTTCTAGTAACGACGGACTTTCAATTAGCCTACAGGCACCTTTTCACCAAGCTTTGTCTCTCTGTTGGCTTCTCGCTTTTTCTTTTTCTCTCATACACATACACGCACACATATACACACATATATATGTATACACATAGATACATTCTCTCACTCTCCTACTTTGTTCTTCTTCCGTTTACCACTCTCTTAACTCGCAATCGGCGTAATCGGTCTTCAGGAAAAGTCATTACGAGAGTAGTCCCATTGCAAATTTGCAATCGGATTTGTTCTTGGCAAAGTTCAACTGCTGAGTAATACCCCCGTTATTCTCTTTTTCCTTCCTTCCTTCCTCCTAGTCCTACTCTTACTCTTTCCATGTACCATCTCTCCCTCCAACCCCCGGTCCTCTTAGACAACACCTTTCAAAATTCGCTATTTAAAAGAAAAACCCTCATTTCGCGAACATTTTCTATACTTTTGTTAAAGTATCTATTTTATTTTTTTTCTTATTTTTTTTTTGCGTTCTTCAAACGGACGAGAAAATTCGGCCAGGTATTTATTCGAGTTAAAAATTAAATTTAATTGGATTCATTAGCGGAATAAGATTTTAAGACAAATCTTACAAACCTACTTTTCTCAAATGTTTTTCTCTATCACTATAATGCAACGTCATTCTCTATAAACGAACTATCAATCTTCAAGAAGAGAGAGAGAGTTCTATTTCCTAACAGGTAAGTTTTCATGGGAATATATTAATCATCCTGGTAATGTAATTTCAACCTAACAAATACTTAAGTTCTATTTTTCGATCCTCTACTCAATTTTTCTATCGTTTTCTTCAAATCTTTTATGTATTAAACCAAATCGAAATGAACTGGTAATATTTGACTCTCTAAGAAGAAAAAAGAAAATATAAAGAAGAAGAAGAAGAAGAAAAGATCCATTTCCTTATCGACGCTTCGAGTCCATCCATCAAACTCGAAACTCTCGTCGCGAGTAATCTTTTCCCACAACGACGACACTCGATTTATATTCTTCTCTCATCTTATTGTCAACGTAGAAATTCTAAATCTACGTTGAGTGGTGCTCAAAATAAACAAGACGTTGTCTAAATATGCTAAAAGATTCTACTCTGTTCTTTTTTTTTCTCCTTAACCATAAAATCATTTATTATAGTCTACTAAATCAAACAATGATATTGGACGAAAAAAAAAAT